CATTAATTCCCACAAATTAAAAAAAATCAAGGAAAAATGAATATACATATATTTGTCCATTAATTCATTGGGGTGGGGGATTTATCTTGGTGTATCTTCCAGTTCTTTATCCCAAAGAGAATGTCAGAAAGAGCACTTTCGTGCCCTGTTACAGGACCAGGTGTGTGGGGAGGGGTGGGGGGATGCTCAGCGGGTGACTTAAGAATACTCAGGAATAGTTAAATTCAGATGATTATGTTGAAAAATCAGTATTTTAATCTTTGGGGTTTGATCTGTTTGATCTGTACATTATAATTTAACATATAACCAACAAGTTCTACATTAAGTGAGGTCTGTGGGGAAGGTGGTTTTGCTTATGGGCGTGGGCTGTAGTGGGTTCAGACAGTCACCGGGAGTGGTGCTGTGTGGAGGTGGGGGGTGAGCAGAGATGGGCTCATCCTGCCCTGGCTCTCAGCCTCCAAAGTGCTCAGGGCCAGGCATCAGAGACGGGGTTCCGGGCACTGTTGGCAGGGCAGCGGCTGTTTACTGACAGCTGCTTACTTAAGGAAGCAGCTTGTGCCAGATGGAATCCCTGGGTTCTAAAACTTAGCGGACTCAAATGCTAAGGAGGTTTAATGAGCCTGGGTTGGAACTCCCAACGATAGTAGTTGTCTATTTAATATTAACAGTGTATTGCAAGCTAAATAGCAGAGCAGCTCAATCCCATGCAAGTATCACGTGCACACCCCACTGCTTGGGTGATAAGATTGCAGGGGCTGATTCCACCACCTGCTGGCATCCCTAGGAAAGGTGTTTCAGTTGCCACTCATCCCCTTTTGTCTTCCAGGGAGGAGCCTAGATGAGACAGATAATAGAGCAATATTCCCTCTGCACCCCTGTCCCCACCTTCCCTTCTTTACATGGCACTGAAAGGACAATTCTAATCTCCCTGAGTTTATTTCCTAGAGCTGTGTCCTGTTCCTTCTGTCTTGTATAATATATTATGAATAATGCATGAATAATTTAATGAGCACCTAAAATGTGCCAGACATTTTACACATATGATCTCAAATACTCACAACTCTACTAATAGATGTTATAGGCTCCATTTAATATACTTGGGGAACTGAGACTCAAAGTCACAGAGCTAGTCATTGGCAGAGCTGGCATTTGAACAAAATTCTTTCAAGTTTCAAAGTCCATGCTTTTTGTGAAAAGAACACAAACAATAATTACAGTAATATTTCCTGAGCCCTTATGTAGTAGTCAGTAATAAACTTAAAAGGTAGCTGTAATCTAATGAAGAAAAATTGAGAAAGGGGGAAACGGAAGATCAGAAAATTGAAGTAACTTGCCCAAGATTATTTAGTAAGTAGCACATTCAAACTTGGAACTATTTGATCTGGTTACAGATGGTTTTACCCAACTGGGCTTTTGTGGGAGTGGTGCTCTAGATGAGGTAAAAGGAGGTAATTAAAAGCAAGCATGGTTAGGAGGAGCTGAAGGATGAAGTAGGTCATAGATTAACTAAAATCAGCCTTTTTATTTCTTTCCTTCCTAGGTGTCTACTTCCTCTGCGTCAACCAGCAAGTCTTCCAGTATGAATCCCACAGAGACCAAGGTATGAAGAGTCTTCCAGGAGGGCCAACTTGGGTGAAAGCCTTTAAGTTGATTAATGTAAAGCAAAACAAATGTAAACTAATAGTTGACAAATGAGTTGTATGTCCTAAGAAGCTTATGTTATAGAAGTAACCATCTTCTTCCTAAGTTATAGGGGTCATTGGAAACTCAGCTTTCCTTTCAGTATTCACCTCAAACATCATCTGTACATTTCTACATCATTTGAATATCTAGGAAAGAGTGGTCACTCAGAGTATTTTCGGTCTTAGACTTGAGTGAGTTTTTTATTTGTAAGATGATCTAAGTGCATTTCTCTGGACCTAAATAAGAATATGAATTCTCAACTTCTTACTAAAATTGTTTGATTATTATAGTCACTTAAAATTAAATATAAGAATGAGAAATGAACCAAGTGAATATAGAAGTGCAACAGATACTGGTTATTTCAGGAGCTTTCTGAAGTTTCTGAAATTTGAAATCACGTGGGGCACAATATTATTGGTAAACTTTTGCGGAGCTCTACTTGAGATTTATTCTAATAATTATTTATTGGAATTTCAGGAGAAAAAAAAACAAAAGAATGTCCTCTGTTGTGATTGCCACATAGAGTAAACCCAGTTCTTAAGAGTTGGCCAAAGCTACCTTAAACCATCTCCCTTTGTTACCATGTCTCAAGCTCTTTCTAGGGAATATTCTTGGATGGAGGTGTCAAGAAGGAGTCTTTTCAAGAGGCTCTCAACTACTTCTTATGAGGCAATATTCTTTAGTACCTACCCCAGCTTCATTATTATTAAGTTGCCTTTGTTTAAAATCCCTGACATACTTTTGTTTCTGTCTTCCATCTTACTTTGCTAACCTAGTGGGATCCTAAACCATAATTTAATACTGCGCCGTAATTTAGCCCTATTGAGGGATCCTATGGCCTCATCTTGAACTGTTTTTAAAGAACATCGCAAATATCTTGAAACACACTGCCTGAATCTAAGCTCTTATAAATGTATTTTAGCATTCATTTTAATTTTTAAATTTATTTTTATCTGAAATTAATATTTTACATTTACATTAATTTCTTATTTTCAAAATACATGTATACATAATCAGATTCATAATTAATCTATTAGCTGTCACTACTTATTTATACCAAGCATAATCTTAACAAAAATCTGATCTCAGTCTTAAAATAATCTTAAAACTATAGTAGAAACATCTACCAAAAAACAATTCTCATTGACCTCAGAGTGCACGGAAACGTAACAAAGTAGGTAGAAAGGAGAGCCGGAAATGCAGGATTTCCTTTGTATTATACTGGTTTGCACCTGATCCATTGCCTGATTCTAATCCATCCCCCTGACTCCTAGCTGGAGGACCCAATGCTTTATTTCCAGCGTGCCCTGTTTTCCAAGGCAAGTGTCAGCAAACTCTTAGCCATCGCTAAGCATTAAACATGAAATTCCTGGAGGCTACAGAGCTGGAGGAAGGGAGTGGGGAGAGGAGAGGAGGAGAGCTAAGACAAAGAGACACAAAAATGAGATGCACTTGATGAAGTACCACCAGTGGCCGACTCAGGACCATTTTTGGCCTCAATTCTCTTTCGTTGGTGGATTTCGGTCACTGTTTTCATTAATCATCTTCCTGTACTCCTGATGTTTGGCTCATAACATTTTTACTCACCTCCTCTTAGATATTTTTGTGACCTTGATGGGCGTGTTTCTTCAAATATTTTGAACTTTTAGAGAAAAGATTTTAATTCAAGTTAATACCTATACCAAACCCTTGTCATGTTCTACACCTTTCAGATGAAAGTCAGTCTAGCTCTGACGGGAAGCGATACGTGTAGATTTAAGTTTCTCTCTCTCCCTCCTGACACATTAGAATTGGTAGTCACACTGCTGTGTATGAGACGGCATCAGATTATTTCTAATCAAATCATCCAGATGAGATAGTTAAGGGGATATGTAGTGTGGACACTGGAGCCAGATGGTATGGAATCCTGGTTCCACATCAGCTCTGATGTTGGAAAACTCCTCTGCTTTGGTTTCCTCATCTGTACAGTTTGGAGGAGAATGACTGTAGTACCTACCTCAGAAGACTGCGTCAGGAAACAAACAGATAAGGGTGTTGGACGGTGTGTGTCCTAGGAAGTTCAGGCTGGCACATCTTCTCCCCATGCCAGTCGGAGCTGGCGGGTACTCCAGAGACAGTGCTGCCTGAGAACACCAGGGCTGTTTCAGGGAGTTATTTAACTTCTGTGTGCCTCAACTTCTCACATGATGATGATGATGATGATAATAATAATAATACCTATCTCACAGGACTGTTATTGGGAGTGAATTGGCACATGTGACGTTTAGAACAGTCCCTGGTACTAAGAGGTGATCAGTAAGCATGAGTTATTGCCATCATTATTTCTTTCTACCACCACTGCCAAAAATAAATTTAGGAAACGTATTAGTGATTACTGATTAAAATGTACATTTCATTATAAGCTGCTCGCATCTGTGAGTGTACATTCTTAATTGTATTGTAGAGTTCCATGCAGAATCTTGACTGCCAAATTAGAACCCATTAATAGATTCAAACCATTGTAATACCAGCTGACTTATTTTCCTTGTTAATTATTATAAAAGTTATATTTGCATAATCTCAGAAAAGCATAATAGCACATATGGAAACTCACAAATATCCAGTTTGAGAGGATCCAGAATTTGAAATTTCTTTAAAGTATTTCTTTGATCATAAACTTTGTTTCCTTCCCAAAACTGTAAGTTTTCAGCAGAACAAGGGTCCATTATGTGAGGGACATATGTATCTTCATTACTAAAGCACAAGACATGATAAATTAAGAGGATATTTGGCTTTACCCTTTTCAGATAATAGAATAAAAAATAAAACTTTGGCTAATACCACCAAACAGATAAAAGGGAAAGAAATGACAGGAAGCATGAGGCCTAATTTTTAATCTTTTACTTTGAAAAGTTCATAAAATGTTGAATCATGTTTTATTCCTGTTCCCATATCTTGCCTGTATTGAGAATGCATGCGTGTTGTTAAGGAATTGTCTTTTTTGACACAGGTTAACTTTGGTTGGGTACAACTCTGTAGAATACTCCACTGAAGATCATAGATCACAGCCTGCTCTTCAGAAGTATTCCTAGAACTTTAGATAAGATCTCTAGATTTTATTGTGCAATACAAATCTGCGCACTATTTACAAAATTGCTCTCAGATTTATGTTGTCAAAATTTCAGAAAACTTGACAACATCTGTGACTATTCCTTTGATCATGACCAAACATTAGAAATATAGGTGGAAAAAAATATTGTTCAAGCAGCCTTTACACAGAGCAGGAGGGGGAAGGAAAGGGATCTGAAGTTAATTTTATTAATGGAAAACTTACAGATTTCCTATCGCCAAAAAGAGTAAATCCAAACTGAAATACTTGCTTGAGTCTTTATAATTTAAGCGCCTACCCCCTCTTGGAGTTATATCCATCTGCAAAGAGCAAATGCAAGGCATGACTAGAATGGGTTTTGATATCAACATTTTAGCCCTGTTTATACATGGTACTTATTTGACTGTCGGATAAATAAAACCACACTTGGGGCTGTGCTCTTACATTAGGCCATTCCAGTCAGCAAAGAGATGGAAGGACCTCATCCTCCTAACAAGAAAAGACACAAAAAACAGGTGATGTGGTTCATTGTATGAGGACACTTTAGCTGCTTGGCACGTGCTAATTGTAGTTCACAATCTTCTGTAACTCTCTGACCCATCACAGACTTTCTGGCTTAATCACCCATTGCCCACATTCTGGCACTAAAAATAAATTTCACTGCTCTCTGTACCCTTGATTCTGTCACCATTCCATTTTCACACTGTCAGCTGATACCTCTGATGAATATTTCACTCATACAGACTGATCATGTTAGTGTGGCTTTGAAGGATGAGGGTTTTAATTTTATTTTGCTTATGTATTAGCTGCAATGTTCATAGTAGTATATGTTTATATATCTTTGATACACATAGGAAAAAGTAAGATGTAAATTGGTACCTAATAGTAAGAGCAGACTGTCAATCAGTATGCTTAGTGTTTATCTAAAGAGTTATAATTCCAAGCAAAGTATGATAATCTTAACTCATAATGTTTATATTTATAAACATATCAAAATCATCTTTTTAGCTTCCTGAGTTGAAGAAAATCTATGATAAACTTTGTAATTGATGTTCATTTTTTCTTCCTTCCTTTTTTTTCCTTTATTTTTCTGAATTTAGTCTGTAAAAACAGAACCTGAAAAGAAGTCACAATCAACTAAGGTAAGTGAGCTAAGTCAACTATGAGTAATTTGGATTCTTTGCAATAATAATGAATAACCCATTCTTCCATTGGTGGTGCTGAATAGTAAAAGGATTTCTGTCAGCTAATTTAATTAATTTGAACATGATTTTATAGAATATATGTAAAATAATCATAACAATAAATTTATATATTGTTAAAATTAATGTATACTGTTTTATAAATAAAAGCAATATATTTCAGAAGGAATTTTGTTCAAATCCATATTTTTTTATATTATTTAAAAATAAGCAACAGGAGCAAAGGACAGAGGGCAAAGGGTAATGAGTATCCAATTACTTAAATGATGAGCTATCCAGAATTACTGTGTCTGATGAATCCAGCACCTAGATAACTTAAAGATGAGAGTCTGGCTTAATCTTGACAGTCTTACCTTGGTTGGTAGAACTAGTTACTCAGCAAACAGATCTTACTTTCCCTTAGTAACAACTTCCCTAGCTTTCTTGACTCAAGGTTGTCTAGATTGAAAGCCAATCTGTGTCCATAGAGATGGACTCCAGGGTGTCTGCAGCCAGGGCAAATGTTTTTCTTCAATTGGGTGCTGCTCTTTATTTCTTTCAAGCGTGCTTAAGCAAATCCTCAGCTAAAACCACAAAGTTTCCTGAGGGAAAGCACAGAGATATTTCTGGCTAAAGTACTTTAAGTTCAGGCAAGGATGAGGTCATCTAGGTGAGAGCTGAAGCTTGTCTGATTTGGTGTAAGGCATCTTGGAGGCCCCTGAGGATGGTAACTCCATAGTCTGCTCTAGAGGGAGAAGTCAGTGGCCAGGTGGAGGTTGTCTTCTATCTATTTAAATGCTTTTGGTTATTGGCCCATCTCAAGAGAATTGGGTTTCTAGTTTCTTCTTTACTTGTAACACAGAAAAGACTATGTAAATAATTCAACTGAAGAATATGCAGTTCTCTTTATCTCTTGTGAGAGGAGATTAAAAAAATAATAATTTCTAGAGTAAGATCCCCTTTCAACAAATTCAGTGGTCACAGTGATCACTTGACATCTCTGTGGATAGACCTGCAATCACCAAAAAAGCTGCATGAATTATGGAAAACAGCGAGTAACTTAGAGATACATACTTATATGAAAAATTATTCTCGGTGAAAAACTAAATTTTTCTTTATCCTTCTGATAATTATCATTATCAGACTGTTGGTAGGATTGCCATTGACCGGGCAGCACGTCTGCTTCTCCAACTGGGTCATTCTCAAAAAGGGCAGAATGGTCTAATTGGGAATTTTGTTCTTGAGCCTTTTTAGAAATAGGAAAACAGTGAATTCCAAATATAATTGAGATTTTATCTTTTGAAATTGACAGCCATCTGTGGTTCATGAGAAAAAAAGCCAAGAAGTAAAGCCAAAGGAACACACAGAGGTAAGTGATCATCATTAGGACTTGATATCACAAGGTGAAGCTTTTTGTGTGTGTGAGGGATAAAATACTAAATTCTCATCATTCAAGACTTAAGTCCCTGGAAGGATCACTTTTTAAATTATTTGTCTAACCTCTATGCTGTATACCTAAAACTCATATAAAATAATATTGAATACCAACTGTAATTGAAAATTTTAAAAATGTAAATTACTATAGATGCAAGTCCTATGAGGATGGCCCCTATTTGTTTTTTGGCTAAAATGGTGCCACCATGTGGCAACAGAAGGATTTGCAATTTACTCATGATTCCTGCTGAATTTAGGGGGAAGGATTTTCATTACTTCAAATTTTGTACCTAAGGTGAAATGTTATCACATTGATATCACACTAAGTTAAATTTGCACAAATCAAAACTACATAAAATGCAGCTGTTTTGAACAATTTCTACTCAGTTGAGAAAAGTATCTGTATTTGCCATCTCGTTAACAGTGTTGTGTGTGTGTTTTCAGCCGAAAAGCCTACCCAAACATGCATCAGATACAGGAAGCAAGCATGCTCATAAAGAAAAAGCAGTTTCTAGGTCAAGCGAGCAGCCAACGTCAGAGAAACCAACAAAACCGAAGGTAAATAAATCAGGTTAATAGCTAGGAAAGCACTAACATCAACTAGGGAGTAAGATACAGGTCCTCTATGTCCACTGACATGGGGAGGTGAATGTGCAGAGCTATGCCGAGCATATCTTGCATTGTAATAATTTGGTGCTATCACCTTGCCGATTTTGCAATAGCCCTGTGGAAACCTGGCCCTCTGAAAGGCCGAGAAGAGCACCAGACGGGTCCAGGGGATGTTCCATCCAGCCTTCTCCTACCGCCCAGCAGCCCCCAGTTTTGATGGCAGGGCCCCAGGCTCTGGTGCCTCCCAGACAGGAAGCCTGGGACGGAGGCTGCCCCCTGGAGTCCTCTCCTCATGGGCTGTGGGAACACAGATGCCCTGCCTGATCTGCTATTTACATGGGCATCTGAAAGAGTGTTTAGAGTCTTGTTCTAAAAGTGAAAAATCATAAAGAGTTTCCATGTTTCTAGAGCTACTGGAGGCCAACTATTAGAACAAACAAAACCTGAGAGGAACTTTTCCACTGATACCTCTTGGAAGATGAAAACTAGGCCTGCTTAGCAATGTACTTTATATCAGAGATTGTAATCTATGGCCCGCCAGTTAAACGCAGCTCATGTGTGTTTTGTCCACATGTATTTTGTTTGGCTTAAATTCTTTTTATTTAGCTACCAACAATTAAAGTCAGAATATTTCACATAAAATCAAAATGTCTAGCTTCTCTTGAAAAATCAGAATATCTGGCAACAGTGGGCTCACATGGGAAGCACTGGCTAGACTTTTGCATGTGATATATGTGCTCTGATTTACCACAGCCCCTTCCTGGCCCGCTCCACTATTTGTGTTACCTGCGTGGACTCTGTAAGCTCAAGCCCAGCCTCATGTGGTTGTGCTCAGTGGAAGCTAGTGACCGTTCCTATACAAGATGTCCACAAGGGTAAACTGGCTCAGTGGCATTTGAAATGCATAATCCTGAAAATAGTCATTCAGAGAGACTTAGTCCTGTTGATCTTTTATCCTTGCCCTTAGACTAAATCTCAGGATACAGTTTCTGCTGGTGGAGAGAGCGTCGTTGCCCGTGTAGCTGTGGCATCTGACAAGTCAGACGACAAGGTGAGCAATATAAGCAGACGGGGAGTGGACGTGGGCCTGAGGCCTATCAGTCTCTCATGAGAAACACATACTCACCGGAGTCCCACTCTACCTGGGCTCTGTGCCTGGTTCTCATTAACCACCTAGGGTTCCGTTGCGGCCACACTCAAATAAAACTGAACACTCTTCATATATAAAAATTTGTGAAGAGGATCACACAGCTAATAGGTATAGAGTGAGCAGGATATCGAAACTGATTTTAAAAATCCATATATTCAATAAATATTTATTGCTCACCTGCCATGTAAAGGCTTGGTATCAGTATTGAGGAAATTGACAGGTAAGTTGACTCAGATCCTGCCTTCAAGATGTACAGGTTTGAGATAAAGCTTATAAAATTGCTATGAGCGTTTGAATAAGCATTACTCTCAGCTTTCAACAAGTTTGCTGCTAATAAATCATGAATAGTCATGACATCTACATGAATTGATATGGGAGGTTTTCAAGGAGACATCACAAACCCCCTCAGAAGAGAGCACGTATGCCCTTCTGGTCAATTATGGGCAAGGCTTCCTTGGATCCTTTGATGAGCCAGTTAAGATTCTAGCCTGGAAATGTAAGCTGAGAAGTAGTCTACGTTTCTACCCGTCCAGTGCAGAGTGAATCATCAGTGTGGAGCCGTCTCCCTTAGAAGCTAGTACTTATTTCTCTGGAAGCTACAAGTAACTAAGTGAAGCAATATGAGAAGATGGAAATGAAAATAGAAAGGAGGAGTATGTATTATGTATTTTCCTGCTTCTCAAAATGGAAAAGGTATCCTGCTGCAGGCTGGATGGTAAGGAAAGTCACAGGATAAATTACGGCACATCTGCCTGAAACATCAGATTTTTCTCAGATTTTGGGAGAAAATGCACATTGTTTTTGTTAAACTAATACAGGTATCTTATGGAGAATGGTAAACTTTATATAAATTTTTAAATTAAAATACCCAACTTTAGTTTAAAGAATATTTTCTTGCAGCAGACCATTTGAGACTCCCTCCCCTATCCCCACCCCACCCCAGGGGTACACATTACTCTCTTGTGCTTATGAAACAGTTTGAACAATGGGTGGATTTAAGAAAGAGGATTAAATGTTAGAATAGATTTTAAAATGTGATCAAAATTTGCAATTTTATGTGAGATATAAATTAGGGTTGTCAGTGAAAACTGAACAATAAAATTAGGAGAAGCTTATATGGAATTCTGGCTTGCACTGACTTGAGCAGGAAATTGTGGCAAATCACTTCACTTTTCTTTGCCTCTGATTTGTCTCCCATAAAATGGGATTGATCAGATCTGCATTTTTACTTTTATTTTTACTTTTTTTAGTGCATAGCATGCTTAAAGCACTGTGTCTGTCTCTCCTGGACACCCGAGCTGGAAGCTGGCCATCTAGGGGTGGGAAGAAGACACTATACCTCAGCTGCGGTTCAAGGCAGATAAGACAGGGAGCTGTTTGGTGAGGAGGCATTCTGCCAGTCTGCAGGAATCCAAAGGGACTTTGAGCAAGCCCAGTGTGAGTGAGGCGTGGAAGGATAGCTTGGATTGCAGGAAGGGGAGGTGGGCTGGGGCTCTTCCCGCAGGCCTGGTGAGCCGTAGTTCAGTGTAAGTTAGACTGAGCTAGAATAAACTAGTGGGGAGCAAAGGAGGGGGCATTGCAGAGGGAAATCCTGCAGGTTTTAGGAAACGACTGGGCAAAGGTGAAATTAAACCTCAGGTACCCTGGGCTTGGGTCTGAACGAACTAGGTTGGTCACCCTACGGTGAGGGCTCCTGCCTGTGTAGGACCCGCACCTGTGAGGACGGTCCCTGGTTACCGCTGGCAGGTGGACAGAGGTCACAGGAGGGGTTGGTTGAGCAGGCAAAGCAGTGTCTGATTTTGGACAGGTTGAATTCAAGTGTGTGAGGTGTGCCAAGAAAGGCGTGTAGCAAAACAATTAGAATATTGTCTTGGAGTAGCAGAGAATGGGGAGAGGGAGAATTAGGGATGGCCGCCACAACATTTTTTTTTAATCATCTCCCAAGGATATTGACTTTAGAGAGACAGAAACATCAGTGCGAGATCGGTGGCCTCCCATACACACCCAGACGGGTCAAACCCAAACCCTCATGGTGTGCGGGAGGGTGCTCCGGCCAACCGAGCCACCAGGCCAGGGCCCCCGCGGTATTTTTAATTTAACAATCACACAGTCACTTATTTAACACTTTCTTAAACATTAAGTACTTACAAAGGGCTCAGTCTGTGCCGAACACTGGCTTTCACACTCCTAGATTCAGTTATCTAATCCGCACAACCCCTGAGGTAGGTGCGGCCACCCTCCCGCCTCACGCAGGAGGATTCTGAGGTGCGGGAGACGGGACCCGCCTGAAGTCTGTGCAGCCATGTGGCCCCTGGCCCTCGAGAATGATGTGCCTCCAGCACAGGGCAGAAATGTGTGGAATGTGTGCAGTGGGGACAAAGCAGGAGAGATGCCAGAGGCAGCAGAGAACAGGGCACAACACCCGAGTAGGACCAGTCATGGCTGCTCTGGGAGGTGAGAGCCAGGCCCTGAGTAAAGGTGTCAAATCAGATTGGAAAGTTTATTGGCAATCACTGAGAGCTCCCGAAGCAGTGGTAGGAAGGAAATTCATTTTAGGGAAATAAAGGAAAGAGTGGGTGATGAGATGTCAAACCAAGGGGCGTGGAGGTCTTGCAGTGTTGGGGCAAAGATGGAAGCAGCAACAGCTAGAAGTGGACACTTACAGAAAGAACTTATGGGACTTCCAAAGACTGGCCATGGGCTCTGGGAGAGGCAACCAAGCATAGTGAAGAAAGAGATGGGCAGTTCTAGATTCAAATCTTGGTTTTATTTTTTACTGTGTGACCTAGGAAAAGTTACTCAACCTCTCTGAGCCTTGCTTTCCACATCACTAATTTATATTATTATTTCTTAATATTATTTATGCTATTCTGAAAAAGGGTAAACACATACAACATAGTGTCTAGCACCGTGCAGATTCAGTGTATGATCAATGCTATTAATATTATAATGAATTCATATTAATATATGTAATATTATTGAACCTTACAAATGTATGTGAAGGTGTGTTTATTTCTTTCTAAACCCCCACCAGAAAAAAGAAAATAAATCATTACCATCGGCTGTACCAGTTGAGTCCAAACCGGGTAAACCATCTGGGAAGGTATGAAGAGAGCAGTGCATTTCTGCATAAGATATTTATTCATAGTATCTCTGTCATGATCTGATTTCTTGAAGGCAAACAATATGAGATGGGGGTAACTTGAAGGACCTTTTTAGTGAATTCTTTCAAGCTAATATAACTGGGTTGAAAGTGTGATTTTCCCACATATGTTTGTAACATTTTATAGTATAACCCCCTGTTCTAAAAACTCCAGTTACATCCCATCCCATGAAGTTTACATCCCAGTTTTTCTCCTGAAAATATACCTTCTTTAACAAGAGGTTTCACTAAAGAATTCATTCTGAAATTCCCAGTTGAATTAGTCTAAAGCTAGCAGGCCCCAAATTCTATTACATTAACAGAGGAGTTCCTAACATTGTCGTGTGAATGTGGTAGTTGTGCCAAAAAATTAAAAAAATTTAACAATCATTTTTAATCTGGGTTAAATGGTAAAAGGTCTGTCCCCAAATTGTTGTTTTCCCCTTGAAATTCAGATTATTCTTCACAAGTCATTCTTAACCTCAAAAATAGGAAGGCTGCCTTCTTTCATTCCTTGTTGACAGTATTTCAGATGTCCCCCACCTCCCCCATTCCCCACCGCCATCCATCCCCCCG